GGAGCGCGAAGCCCTTACGGATTTTAGCCCTTTGGATTTTAGATGCTCTGTGGGGCAATCTGAGATGATTCCTGGCCACTTTCCACCGTTTAGAAAACGTTTTAAACATCAAAAATTCCACTACAATTTGTTATTTTTTTGTTCTTTATAAAGTTTGTTATGTACTCAAAGGTGAGAACCATCTCCGTATTTTTTCACAAATCTTTATTTTGAAAAGGGATTTAGGCCACTTGTAGTCCGAGCCTCAGCCATTCGCTGCTGAGGGTACAAAAAAGGTGGGGGGCACCGCTAGGATGAAATTATAGTATAGGGGAAATTTGGCCGGAGGACTAATGCGAGCGCGGAGCGCGAAGCCCTTACGGCGTGGGGTCCGGGGCCCGCTTAAGGGCCCGGGGAAATTTGGGATCGTAGATGCTCTGTAGTGCAATCTGAGGCGTTTCTTGGCCACTTTCCCCTGATTTTTTTAGCAGAAGTTTTAAAATTAAGAGGGGATATTTTGTTTCATTTGTTTCAAATACATATAGGCCTATGTACTCTTGCTCTTATAAAGTTTCTTCTGTATTCAAACCTTAAAGTTGAGAACATGCACATAATTTGTAAATTGTTCCGCGCTCGGTCACATAACTGACATGAATTGAAATATTTCATTACAGCGGGTGCATATTTTGGGGAGTGTGACAGACTGGCATGAAACGTATCATAAAAATATTTTAATAGAATCTGAAGTGGCCATTTGATTTTGTTTAGTCACCAAGCCCGAAGCGTGAAAACGGTTTGACTAAATATGCATTGTAGTAGCAGTTGTCCGCGTGCAGCCTCATGGACGTATAACGCGCTAAAAAAATACGCGAAATGAAACTCCACTACAGTTTGTTTTACCTTGGTTTTATCCGCGTATCGTGCAACCATCATAACCCGCGCATAAAGTCTTAAGAAATTAAATTGCCACATCTTTTTAACAATTGTTCTTCCTCAAACTCAAAACGCGTGGCCCGTCGGATCACCGTCCGTTTTTCACCGATTAACTTATACATTTTAAAATATTTGCCGGGGGGCGTGCGCCCCCTGCGCCCCCCGCTGGATCCGCCAATGCATTTGTTTCAAATGCATATAGGCCTATACACTCTTGCTCCTATGAAGTTTCGTCTATTTTCAAAGCCTAAAGTTGAGAACATGCACATAATTTGTAATTGTTCCGCGCTCGGTTACATAACTGACATGAATTTAAATATTTCATTACAGCGGGTGCATATCTGGTGAGTGTGTCAAACTGGCATGAAACGTATCAGAAAAATATTTTAACAGAATCTGAAGTGGCCATTGTTTGACTTTGTTTAGTCACCAAGCCCGGAGCATGAAAACGGTTTGACTTCATACGCATTGTACGCGGCAGTTGTCCGCGAGTCTCATGGACGTATGAGGCGCTAAAAAAATACGCGAAATGAGACTCCACTACAGTTTGTTTTACCTTGGTTTTATCCGCGTACCGTGCGGCCATCATAACCCGCGCATAAAGTCTTAAGGTCGGTTTTCACGGGGCACGCGAACGATTTGCGAAGGATGCAAATGTCGAAAAAATGGCAAAGTCCAACATTTTTTCTCCGAATGTCTCCCGACAATGGAGTCGTAAACCATTCTTGCGCAGTGATGTGCGACTGTCGTGTGTAACGTGACTGAACTACGGTCAGTCCACATACACGAAGAACGCGCGACTTAAATGCGAACAACGCGAATGTTCTTCTGATCGCTCCTCCTGGGAACTATGAGCCCATGGGCGTCGCGAGGGGGGGGGGCAAGGGGGCACTTGCCCCCCCCCTCCGGAAAAGCAAAAAAAAAAAAAAAAGATAAAAAGAAAAGAAAAAGAGGCACGAAGACATAGGCTAGTGGTGTAAATTTGATGGGTTGGGGGGGGGGGCAAAATGTCCCTGCCCCCTCTAAAACTGATAAATCGAGAATGTGTTGAGAAATACAGGCATTTTTTTGGCCAAACAAATGTTTTCCCCCCTCCACAAAAGGTCCTGGCTACGCCCATGTATGGGCCTCTTGCACACCTTCCATCTCCCCTGGCAGGTGGTTTGTCTTCCTCTTCTTGGTCAATCCGACACCTCGGCCACGACTCTTTCCTCCCTTGGGCGGCATGTTGCTGTCTTGAGTAGAAGTCAAATTGAAGTAAATAAATCACCCACTGTTTAACCTATGAGGCTATAGTATGGGCCTACATAGCTTGCTTGCCTACAATACAGAATTCACACAGAGTAGCAAATGCGCGAAATAGTCGTGCGCTTTATATAGGTCAAACGTGGTGTGGATTTGCCGCCAAACGTGCACCAAACGTTCGTGAGAATGTCTTAAGAAGTACGCAAAAAGTTTGCGGAAAGGTCGATAAATAATCGGGAGAACTTCGCTTCCGAGCGCGAGACATTCCCCAAATTGTCGGGGTCTGTTTTGGGATTTACGAAGAGTTTGCAAACATCGCGCACGTCTTGAGTAGGTCCTGCGCATATGACGAAGCTTTTAAGACATTTTTGAGAACAAATCACGAGCAAAACACGACCCGGGATGCTGGAAACGTTCGCAAGAAATTTCAAAAATTTTTGAAACTCCCGCCGAACTAAAAATGACGCCCGCGAACAATTGACGATGCTGCCGAACCCTCGCGATGGTTTGGCGATCCTTTGCAGCACACAATACGAATGTTGGACTTTGCCATTTTTTCGACATTCGCATCCTTCGCAAATCGGTCGCGTGCCCCGTGAAAACCGACCTTTAGGAGGTGCGTGAAAATTGCCACGCCTTTTGAACGATTGTTCTTCCTCAAACTCAAAACGTGTGGCCCGTCGGATCACCGTCCGTTTTTCACCGATAGTATACATTTTAAAATATTTGCCGGGGGGGGGGCGTGCGCCCCCTGCACCCCCGTTGGATCCGCCAATGCGTTCACCCATTCGCGAATAGACCGGAAGGGTACATTGATAGGACTGTGGGTTAGTTTACGGGTTAAAACCAAACAGAACAAATCCCGCATACAGGCTGAGCAGAAACCGAACTTTTATTCGTCACTGTGTTTCGGAGTTTTCATAGAAAAATCTCAAACTTGTATCTAAGTTAATTTTGTATGCTGGTGTGTTAATTATAGATTCTTCACGTGGTGTGATCAAAGTTTTGTAACGAACGTTTTAATTTTTGTTTCGTTTCTCGTACAAGGACAACAAAATGATTTGCATTTCAGTTTCGTTCCGGGTGATATGTCGTTAGACAAATGAGGAAATGCTTGCAAATTTTATTTAGATCATGATCATAATCATGCCATATGAACCATCATATACACCATCGAGTATATAGAGTCAAATTGCAGTAGTCCAAATTATTCCTCGGTATTTTAGGTGGTAACCTGAACAAATAAATTCGTTTTGTCAATATGACGGTGGGCTCTAAATTCGGTCATTGTACGAACAATAATGATTTAACATTTACATTTTTAGCCATACACAGGACAAATTTCAAGCTCAAATCTTTAAACTACAGCCTTTATATACACATTGTATACTGCATGAGTGACTGCGCAACCATATTTGTTTCCCGATGATACAGGTTTAGGTAAATTATACATGGCTCCCCGTACCGCGTCAAGCCTCACCATTTAGTCTAAACAAGTCGTTCAGTTTTTTTCCTGATTCTCAAGTCGTTATCTTTCTACATATCTTTGTCATATATAAATAAGGCCTATAATGTTGTTTCAAACACATTACACTGTATTTCTAGACGATAATTTCAAGGATGACCTAATCATAATTGCCATTATAAACATTACAAAGCAGTTTCCATTTCAAGAAAATATTTTTACAACAGTTTTGTTCGGTTAAATTATTTAAGATGGTGGTGAAAGTTGTGTTGGTGATTATTATAATAGTGATTACATGTACAACATTAAATAGTACCTTAGGGAGACACTTTGTAGTAAATTATTTGACGTTAGGGAGACAATAGTTAATGCGTTAACTACCTTTTCCAGAAGGAGATTTACAGTCAATCGTTGCTTAAAACGATTCATTAGGTCGCGTAGAGTATTTTAATTGAAAGGTTTGGGAAGAGGTTTTTTTTTGGGGGGGGGGGGTGAAAGACTATGGGAATGTATCCGCACGGTCCCATTCAAGGTAATTATCATTAACGATAGTGGTGATGATAATTGAAGTGTGAATATATCGATGACAAGTGTGACGACGAAAATTTATATTTACATATGGCACACATTTGGTTAATAATTAGTCAAAATCCAATACATGTAATTGCAATGGGCATGAGAAACAATTGTGTTCCATATAGTTTAAATTGATAAATGTTACAGTTAATGTTCATACCTCAATTAACTACATGTTTTTAACGTTTTGTGATACCAACTGGAATCTTTTCCAATCCCCAAAGACAAATATTTCCTGGCCCTGAAAGGACATGACACATCGCAAATATCTTTGTAAATATTTGCGAAAATGTTTTTGATGTTGCAAATATTATCGCAAATATCCTTGCACATATTTGCGATAATATTTACGATTTCGCAAATATTATCACAAATATTTGCAAAGGTATTTGCAAATATATTTCCGGTGAAATATGCGACATCGCAAATATTTGCAAAGATATAGGCCTATGCGATAATATTTGCCACTTCGTAAATATTTTCGCAATATTTGCAAAGACATTTGCGATGTGTGTCCTTTCAGGGCCACCCTACAAATAGGCATTGATATTAACAATGACCGACAAACCGACATACAACACAAGCTAACAAAGAATGAAGAAAAGACGACAAAGGCTACACAAAAATGCAATATAGTACAGCAGAAAGGTTGGAGTTGTGCCTTTGATGATACAAGCATGGCATTTGGCACACAGTCAGAGTACCGGTATGTCATGAGAAAGATATTTGGCTATGGGGGCCATCGCAGATTTATCCTTTGAAAAAAAAAAAAAAGGTAGAATAACAAGCAATGACAGCCATTTTGAAAATTTTGAAAATTTTGAAAATTGATTGTTATTCTACCTATATTTTTTCAAAGGACAAATCTACGATGGCCATCGCAAATATCTTACTCATGACAAACACTGACTGTGTGCCAAATTCCATGTTTGAATCATCAAAGGCACAATTCCCCCGAATATTTCCCCCATCTGGCCCACTAATAGACAAATAATTTAAGTCCTCATAACGGAAATTGTGCCGAATCCTTAGATTGTCACATCAGCGCCCCATATCACTCAGGTAAGCGCATGCTTTGCAAGCAGCGCCAAAATGGCGTCGTATGCAGGCGCATCATAGCCAATTTTTGCCACAAACAGTGGATTCGTTGCAATTCAATAGTTCTTTGACTACCATGGAGGGTAGTCAATAAAGCCTGAAAGTTCACCCCTGGTGGCGTGCTGCCGATTCCGGAGCCCTTGATTAGGAAAATTAACGTGCACAAATTTGCAATTATTTTTGATATATGAATATCTTAAGAAAGTCACCTTCGCAAAGGGCATTTGTAAAATTGTTTCTAGTATCTCAATTTATGGAAGCTGAAAATCGTCTGACGTTAAAGTGAAATATCGTGCCAAAAACTGACCTCTCACTTCCGAAAAACTAAAATACGCGTGGACTAGTGGAGCTCGATGTACTCGTACAAATATGAAAATTTATGAAATGGCGGTTATCGGGTGAAAAATGAAAGTTAAGTAGGAGACTAAGATGTCTTTTAGGATAAACTTTTTAGAATAAACTTGAAGGCCTCTTTAGCATTTACGAAAAAATCTAAAATGACTGCTGAAATTCGAGCCAGCCCGACCAAATTCTAAATGTTCGCCTCGTTATAAAGTTTCATTCACACGTAAACAAACGTGAACGGACAAAGAAGACATAGGAACGGAAAAGCCGGACGTGAAAGGTCATAAGAACAAGTCGTTTATGCCCATTTCTCGTTTTACCCATTTCCTTGAGGAATACCAAGGTAAAGTTACAAAATGAATGTTTCTTGGGGTGATTCCGGTTAGAAATCATTGTCAACAATTATAGCAAAAGAAAGGGCAACCAGTGTAAAATGCCCGTAGGCGGGCTGCGCGAGGGTTCCACCATCTCGTCACGTGACCTTTTACTTTTAGGCTCTATTTATATTTCTATGAGCTAATGTCCTCTGTATTTTTGTCGGTCTTTTCAGTCGTCTCTACTGACTTGACGGGGTCTTGCTGCGGGCCGTTCGACAGTACCAGGCACGGTGCGTCTTTCAGGGGGGAGTCCGGCGCCGGCGGCACGGCGGTGTATTCCTGCTTCGCACCATCCATGCTTTCCCATGGCCTAAAATTGACCGCTCGGTAGACGATCTTGTCCACCACCAGTTTCTCATTGGGATCGGAGGTCGAGAACTGCTCGTCGTCCACGTCTTTGATGATCGCCTGCCGGTCAGCTGCGTACCTATCGGCCCAGCGCTTGTACAGTTTGCGGTAGATGCGGTGGAAGCACCTGAAGTGAAACAATAATAGTTTAGATTATCTCGTCCATGGGGCGTCAGCACGGGCATTGGGGAAAATAATCCCTAATAATTCGTTTCCAATATTAGCTGTTACTTGAAAAATTTCTTCCAACATCCTGATTCGATACAGCAACAGCAAATAATGGATTTATGTCGTTTACTTGGTGTTTTATTTCCAATGTGTATTACGTGTTTTAACGTTCACTGTGAATTATTACGTCTACTTCACTTTTCCATTTTGCCTTAAGAAATGGAGCACACGCCGCGGCCGCGGCCGCGACCCAACGAATTGATGATGTTGTTTACGCAAGACACCGCATACAAACAAAACTGATTTAAAGCACAGCCAGGCACTGGACTGTTCCTAATTTGCATACGTATGCAAGAATTTTGAACGTGCGAATCAATGGTGAGAGAGCGGGTAGTGGTGAGAGCGTACTGCTCGACACCATGGGAACAAGGTTGAGCCATGACGTTTTCGCGCTGCATTCATTCCCGTGATGAGGACGTGAGAGAAGTTATATAAGCATACGCGTTCCAGCCCAACTTTGAAAGGAATTGAGTTCCGCACGGAAATAGACCTTTATCACTGCGCAATAGTCGTAGCCTTGTTGCCATTTTGTGATTGGTCAATTAACGACGTTGAAGTACATGTACGCAAGTACGTACGGTACTATGTACACGTACGGGCGCCGCATGTACATGTACATGTTCATCGTACAAGACCAGATTCTGCAGGTTTTTTGTGACACATTTCGTTCACATAATGATACAGAATGGGGGAAAAGAAAAATCATTTCACAAAACCCTACTATGTATATATCTCGATATTTAAATGAACATTGCAAGCTATCTGCAATGATTCGTTGGACATTAATTTTGTGCATAAACTTTGGGAATGGAAGAATTACTTCTCTCTTTAAAAAGAAACTTATATTATTCATCTATATTCATGCTTTCTTTAAAAAAATATTTTATGAATGTAAATTTATTAATTTATGATCCCTGCTTTTCTCTTCAATCATTGTAAAGGACTGATAATGCGACCGGAAGAATTACTTAACACTCCAATTCCGTATTCACTTTCATGCATTTATGGGGATGTGTCTAAACGATCTCACGATGTAATCATAGATCATTTGGAAAATTGGAAATTTATTTTCTTTACATGATGTTCATTTATGAAAACAGACCGTCACTAAAATGATTCTGAACGTATTGTAAACTGAGTGCGGACGAATCCCAGGTGCGTAAGCAGCACTACTTGCGACCGCGCTTGCAGCTACTTGCACTGGAGATACGAAGACACCATCAAATGAACGTCGTTCATTGTCCAATCACAAAATGGCAACAAGGCTACGACTATTGCGCAGTCCTTTATCAGGGTACGCCATCTTGAACATCAAAGCGAGGCGTATAACGCAAACAACACAAAACAACAAAGAATCAAACAAACACTCCGACATGGCGGCGTAAATAGTGTGTGCGGTGAACGAGTGACTCTCGCAAAGTTCCAGCAGATTGATAATCTTATAAATGGATGGATAGCTTAAATTCCCCCGAAACATCAATCAACATTGTACATCTCATTGTATTTTGAAAAAGGGATCTTATAAATATAAAACCAAGAAAAAAACATTGGCCGAATTGAAGTTTCAGTGTTAGTTTAATACGAGTAACACCGCCGTCAGATCAGAGAAATGTCAAGACTTTCTATTTTCACTTTTGTTACCCCCACATTTGTTCACTTAATTTCACAGTATAAATCTGGCGCGCAGAGTGTTACACAGAGGTCCAGTGCTACATAATCGGATTAACGCTGGCCCTGTGCGGCTGTGCGTTTGACCCTAAAGTGTGGCCCAGCACACTCCATTCATAAAATGGTTAAAACAAACCTATACATGACATGACGTATAGGTTTTGTGTACATATCAATGTAAAGGTATGTCTAATAGTACAATCTTGTCCGATTTTGTCAAGCTTGACATATACATCCTTTCACATTTTGTTTCCCTCAAGAAATCCGACGTACACTTACGTGTACATGCATAGATATCCTCCCCACAAACAAAATGGTACGGCCCAATTAACAAATGCGCGTTCTTTCCGTCACAAATTTCTATAACTGCCTTGATGTGAACACTATTCAGATCCAAATTTACATTATTCAAAAATGAAATTAACTCCTATAAAGACCACAGTTATAGTTCCAGATAACTAATTTACAAATGGGTAGTTTTTAAATGTCTTATTCAAAGTAGAATTGGAGAAAACATGTCCTGTAAACGGGTGATGAGCAGAGTCCAAGATCTTGAAACGCGGGGTAAGCAATGGTACATCGATGTAAGTCTCGAACAATGCCTTATCGATCGAAAGTTGTCATTGGCCACTTTTTTCTTCGTGAAAATGACGGTGGTTTTTTTCAACCAATCAAAACAAGTAAATCTAAAAATTAATGTGGCCTGACGTTGCGAACTTAGCAAGTTCTTCTTCAGAGGCTAAAACAGAAATGACAGAGGTACATACATTAACATGGGGATGCACACAAACATGCAGGGCTGAAAGAAGAAACACAAAGCGAGGATTAGGTGGGAAAGGTGTGGAAAGATGCAGGGGAGGGTGGATGAGAGAACAAAGAAACAAAGGGAGATGGCAAACCACAAGGGGTCTGGTGTAAACAGGAGAGGGACCAGAAAGGGGAAGGATCAAAGGTCACAGGGAGTGGGAACGGACAAAACAATTGTGTGAGAGTGAAGGGGGATGATGCGGGGGGGGGGGACAGTATGGAGGTGGAAAGGGATGAAAGATGGGGGAGATGGGTAAACACAAACAAGGAAGACCAGGTGGATTATCTGTAACAGAAGACAATGGAGGAAGAAAAGGATTATTCATTTCCAAGTTGGATGTTGAGACCAAGTGGTTGAATAGTTCGAAGACGATTCATCATACTTTTTCTCTGCTGAGGCGAACTGAGTCCTTGCGATGGAGAGATTCAATGCCCTGTAAAATCATATCAGAAATGGAGTGGTTAGGCAGGTTGAAGTGATGACCAACAGGGTTGTCTAGTTTCTTGGTGTTGACCGTTGACCGGTGGGCATAGAAACGCTTCTTGAGCGTATTCTTAGTCTCACCTACATACTGCACTCCGCAGACCCTGCAAGAAATGAGATATATGACATTAGAGGTGTTACAAGTGATTTTACCAATGGTTCTGTGGGTAGTGACAGAAGAGTGGCCAGAAAAGGAGTCAGACTCCTGGATATGACTCTGGCAGACAACACATCTGGAACTGCACTTGAACGTACCATGCTGGGTGGGAGGGGATGCATCTAAGGATGGGACTTCAGCTCGAACAATCAATTTCCGTAGATTTCGAGGACGCCTGTAAGCCAATGTGGGGCCGTTGGGGATGGCGCGGGCAAGGCGATCTGAAGTATGGAGGATATGATGATTGTCATTAGTGATTTTGCGAAGGGGAGGGAGATTGGGGTGAAACGTGGTAACCAAGGGAATCATTGGTTTGGCCAATCAAAACAAGTGTTACATGTAAGGAAAGAGAAGGAGCTAAGCTATTCGATTCCGTTTAACCCCGTACAATTTGATGCTCCAGTCAGGAGTTACAGTCAAAAGAGTCGACGCGAGGGTGCTGAATCGGTGCGTTTACACAGGAAGATGATGAAAAGTTCACATTTTCAAAGCCGAAATGACGGGGATTTTTTTTCAAGATAATTTTTTTTATAAATATCATGAGTGAAACCGTTTAACCCCATTGAAAAAGACCGCGCGGTTATCAAACTATGACTAAAAACGTCGGGAAAAAAGGGCCATTTTACGGGAATTTTCTCCCGGAAACGGGCCCGCACAGAGGTTTTAGCGAAGTGAACACAACAAAGTCATATGCTGAAATTGCACCTGTTTAGTAGTTACATGTAAAGAATATCCGCGAATTGTCTTTCGCACAGAACCTGTCATTTCCATAAAACAAAGATGAACTGAAGCCCCTTACGAACGAGTGAGAAATGTCTCAAGTTTCCTGAAGAAATTTCGGTCTTGCACTGCCACCCCGACTCGATATTGTGCAAAATGACACGAGCCTTTCGAGATACCCTTGTATTTGTTGAGTAGACTGTGTCGACGTATTAGCCAGAATGGGCCTAATACGTCAGTGTTGTGGTCAAACCTTTGTATTGTATAAGCTCAATACTCAAAAAACATTCTGGATTTTATTAGGTTGGAAAGTGTTGCACTTTCCTCGCAAAATCTGCACGGCACAAAAAAAATGAGAAGACACACCAGAAAGAGAATGGCCTATCCCGAAATGCCCAGGAACCATTTCAGCATTGCACTCCCGATATCACCTAAAACGTTTTTTTTTGTGGGGGGCCTTGATTCTGTCAATTCTTAACCCCCCCCCCCCCCCCCCACACACACACACACACCCACACCCGCACACACGAAGGTTTACGTTACTTGTATAGACTTTCCATTGCTTTTTAGTAGTTAAACCCCATGGGCCCGGGAAGCGGTCATGGCCGCGGCCGCTAATCCTCATTGGAATGCAGTTGCCAGTTGTGGTATGCCGTGGCACACAGCTAGTGGGTAGTTCCACAGCTGCTGCTTTTGCGCATTCCCGCTACCACACAAAGGCTGTGCAGTCATGCGGGCCACTTGCTCTATGTGTGGAGGAATGTCCCCATTATAACCCGTGCTTAAGGGGTTAAGAAAAACCAGTATAAAAAAACTCATTTTTCTCAAACTGTGAAAACTCTTTCAACCCATTTTTTTCTATGATTCCCTTTAGTGTTTCTCTTCATTCTGTCACAGATAAACTTACTACCCCAAAATGCCTCTAAACCTGTTGCCCAGAAATGGGGAAACATTGTGTGGACGTGGGCAAGTCCACACAACGTCCCTGCAACCTGGTTTATGTGGACCTCTTTTGTTCGAAAGTCCACACAGCGTATGTAATGCTTGTACACAACTGCAGTGATTATGCCATGTTTTATTGGGTGGGAAAATGTTGCACTTATCTCGCAAAATCTGCACGGCACAAAAAAATGAGAAAACACACCAGAAAGAGAATGGCCGATCCCGAAATGCCGAAGAACCATTTCAGCATTGCACTCCCGATATCGCCTAAAACTGAATCATTTTTTGGTGGGGGGGGGGCCTTGATTCTGTCAATTCTTAACACCCCCCCCCCCCCCCACACACACACACACAACCGCTGTGATTAGGCCTATGCCATGTTTTATTAGGTTGGAAAATGTTGCACTCACCTCGCCAAATCTGCACGGCACAAAAACATGAGAAGACACACCAGAAAGAGAATGGCCGATCCCGAAATGCCGAGGAACCATTTCAGCATTGCACTCCCGATATCACCTAAACCGAATCGTCGGCAGAAGAAAAAACAACAGTTCCAATGTTGTTTACCAGTCATTTCTACATTAGGGCTTAAGCTTCTAAATGTCAATAAGGAGCTGTGCTTTAATCGGGTCAATCACAAGTCACAAGTCAAAACTGAAGGCGCGAAAACACAATTTGGGTCTCAAGAGGTAGGATAAAGTATGTTTTGGTCACAATTCTTGGAATGATTTGTACAGATTTGACTTGGAATAAACAATCTATGTTTTCAGTGATTCAATCTTCTCCATAACACAACTTTTGTGAGCAGAAAGCTTTTAATGAGCAGCTGTGCACGATTGATCGAAATAATTTTTGTGAATTTGCAGTGCCTGTATTTCACATTTTCAGCCCTGATAGCTGATAACTAAAAGACCCTTTTTGGCAACTTTTTGGTTGAAGATGGTGGATCACACTTTCCGCAGCAGTAAAAGTATAGGCAGGCCTACAACCTAATTCGGTGATCCCGCGGGTCCGGGCGCAGCCAGTGACCTTTACTGTTTGCGCTCTCATTGGGCGGATTTTGTATAGCCAGTGACCCGAATCGGAATCAACGCATGACCCTTGCGCACGAATGCACTTAGATTAATATGGTGTCCATAATGCTTTACGACGCCTGCTTTTCCTTCAAAGATATTGTGTTAGGGATCAGCTGACACCGGCACCCTCGGGTAGAACGATGGGGGAAGCGAGCAACAGTCGAAGGTTTCGCAGATAATAAACATCGTACTTGTGTCGCCTAAACGAAGTTTTGGGAGACACTAACTAGTCCAAATTTCTGTATGACCGTACACACCAGAGTTACTTGTGGGGTACTCGTACAAAGGGAACGGTACCCCACAAGTGAAATAAAAGGACAACAATTCTCCTAACCCACAAGTCCTTCCCGTGATGTCGTCCGTAGCCCCGTTTTTATAGGTTAGGTTTTTGAGAGAAAATATGTACAACTTCTACATGCTTTTATGGATTTTGATGAAACTACTTGGATACAGTGACCCTTAGGTAGGAAGACACACTTCTTCATCGGATTACTGAGGTCAAAGGTCATGTAGGGGTCATTAGAGGTGATTGTTCGAATATGCATCAAATATTTTCTTTGTCTACAGAATTTGACGGATTTCAATGTTACTTGGATGGAGTGATCCTTGGGTGGTGTTCGTCACAACTTTTCCTAAATTGAAGTTCAAAGGTCATGTAGGGGTCATTTTAGGTCGTTTAAAAATGCACAAAAAATGATATTTTTTTTAAAACACAAAACATAGTGGGATTGACCGCGGAAAAAAGGAGACACATGCAATCCGCGGATCAATTGTCTTACCAGAAGTGCCGTTTCCAGACGGACGAAATGTCCCAAATCCACCAAATCGGTGAGCACCATACACCTGCATCATTAGTTGTCTATGGAAAGGATCTATATTGCTGTATTCCTCATAACTGTCGTCAATTGACGCGTCTAGATATATAATTAAAAAAAAAATTAGAAACACTTTGAATGAAGATGGCAAAGAAAACTGTTTCAATTTTAACTTAGCCTATATGCAACCTCGGCTTGGAGTTTGCTCCTTGGCTTAGTGTTTGTGAAGGTGATGGTTTGTTTGTTTGATGGACATTTTGTTCAACGTTGTTTCTTGGAAAAAAATTGTATTGTTTCAACTGTATGATTTTTTTTCTATTGATCTGAACCAAGATGGAAAGACCCCGAACTTTGGCTTAAAACCATATCATATGATTTTTTTTTCTATTTATTGAATGGGAAAATGGCACATTGAGCCGAAATCTTCAAGGCTATAGGGACTGATGTCTTCAAGCCAGAGGCTAAGGTCTGAGGAATGACGTAAGCGTTCGCGTAAGCGACGACGCACCTGCACAGTGTTTCTTCGACCAATGAGGTTGTCGAAATGCGCGTATAGGCGTCTCAACTCTCAAGTCGCTTTCGGCATGCTAAACGAAAAAGTAACAATACCCTTTGAGAAAGAGAGTCTTTTCTCTCTAGCTCTTGCAAAGCCATAAGATGCAATGCACATATCATACAGTACTTTTTGGCAATAATATATGGCAGAAGCTTGTCTCGCGGCGCAAAATCCCATAGAGAGGCACGCACCGCCCCATAAAAAAAATCGCCGCCCCAGTCTCACCCGCCCCAGTGGAAATATGGCAACTGAAGAAAAGTGCATTCCTATAAGTTACCATGATTTGCGGGTTTAAATTTAAGTGCCTTTTTCACGTTTGTTGTTTATTTTTCACGAAAACCGTGTTTTTCGGGATTTGCTTTTATATTTGAACGTCCTGTGGAAAATGGAAAAGCGCCACCTATTGTCTGACATTTCCTTTTTGAACAGGGTCCCATTGGAAGATGGTCCCCCCCCCCCGCACTTTTTGATTTTACGGAGGCCGGGTGTCCGGTGAAAAAAACAGCCTGTCTACCTTTCAGCACGGATGAAATTGGGCGCCCCTCCACTGCAAATCCAGCCCCCCCCCCTCCCCACACCCGACCCCCACTCGCCCCCTATGATGAGAACCCTGGCTACGCTGCTTGATGGACCGTCGATAACAAAGTGAGAAAATAATGAGGCATGACATAAGAGTAACGACATGAACAGCAGCAGCATCAGCAGTTGCAACAACAGCAGCATCAGCAGCTGCAGCAGCAACAACAACCAATAGCAACATCAGTAGCAGCAAAAGAAAAAGCAGCAAACAAACAGCAACAGCAGCAGCATCGCGCAACAACAATAATAGAAGCAGAGATAACAGTGCAGCTATAGGCCTAACAGCAACTTCAAAAATGCCGTTTCCCGGATTTTCCAAAGTCTGTGTACACGTTATGAATAATTAAACTCGATTCACATCAGTGTTTCCACTTCCCAAAGTTGAATTTCCTTGGATTTCCCAGTCAGGTAACCTTTGATCTTTATTCGTATATGACATTTTGACCCACACGTGCTGAATTACGAAGCATTTTTCTCGACCACACTCTCGTCGGCCGGAAGTCGCTTACATTGTATACATTTGTATACATTTGTATACATGGCACTCGCATAGTCTTGCGCGTTATCGAGACAGTTCCCACGGCCTGGTACGCTTGACTCCTGCAGCTCGGAAGCAATGCCAGTCTGCTGAGATGGCTTCTTGTGGAGTATAATAACGCAGCTATTTGATGTTTCTGATATTTTGGGCTTAAAGACGTCAGGGTAAGATCTTATTTAACTAGAATGTTAATTCTATTTTTATTATAAATTCATACTGAAAGTCTTGACTTCCAACGTGTGAGATGTACAAGCTGCAGAGAACTCTAAAATATTATTGTTCTGTTTCTTTGTATGGTTTTTGGTTTTGTTTACTTCTTGTGATTAAAACTTCTCCTCGTACTGGATGTCGACATTATAAATCCTCAACTAATTGAAAGCAAAGCAAGGAGAAGTGTCCCGTCCAATGATTGCTGTGTTCAGTAAATGCCGTAACTGGTGGATGGATTTCCCCTCTGACTAATACAGCAGGGCCGACCGCTACATTAGATGGCTATATTTTTCCTGTGATTTCCTGTAATTTCGTCTGAATTGTCTTGAAGTTTCCTGAGCTTTTCCAGGCTTTACTTAGCTCACCATGTAGTAATAGGGAGTCAGGTTGGCGTAGCGGTACGTCCCTAGCCTTCCACCGCTGTGGCCCTGGGTCCGCCTGGGACAATATGTGGATTTGGTTTTCAGTCCATGCCTGATTCCGTGGGTTTTTCCCCAGAATATTATCCTGGTGTTTCCCTCCTCCCACCACGTAAACTGTCATTTCCTTCCACATCTTCACCGGAAATAAGTCGAAAGACTTTCGTGGGCTATCCCGGCCAAGTGCCAAAAAATCACAAACAATTAAAATGTTAAGTTTCTCAGTTTTCAGAGAAAGTCTTTTCGAAGCTTAACTGCGTCCTCATCATCATCAGACTGCGGCTGCGGCTCTTCACGTGTGCTGTCAATGGCCCTCAAGCCGCAGCCTATTTAATACGGTATTTGTTTGAACACAAATTTATACTGTCAAATGATATTCTTGATTTTGCTTTCTTATATTTTTGAAATTTCTTTTAAATGTCCTTCAGATTTTGGTTTTCTTTTAAACTTCTCTAGCTTTTTCAATACATTAAAAAAAATTCCATAGGACGTTAACGTTAACGGTAAAATAATCCTTAAAAGTGGAAGCACTGGTTCACACGTTCGTTCGCCTATTACAATTCATTCCGTGCGCAATTGCGACTTTACATTAATCAGAAAACATTAAAATGACACAGAACGCCTGGTCGACAATTCAGGACCTCGTATTAAGAAAAAAAAGAGATCAAGCAACTCACCTTTGTGATCCCGGATGGAGGTTTGCGGAACGGTATTAGCCAGGACAAACGAAGTCAGCTGAACCATGCACACCATCCACAAAACTGTCCAATCCGGAAGGCGCATCTTGATCTTCGAAAACACAGGGGTGATGCTGTATTAAATCGTCAGGGTACTATAAACTCCGAATATCAAAAACAGATTAACCATTTAGCTCTCTAGAAGCGACAGATAGGGAGAGTTTCTGAAGTTATTTAATAATCAGCACTATTCAGTAAAGGATTTTTTTTACTTAACTATTTGCTTATTATGGCAGCGAGCACAATGTGAACAAAATCCGCAAGCATTGTCCAGTAACAACAGAATCCTGCCACAGTTAGTCCTTCAGTGAACATGTAAGCCGTGAAGTGTCTATTTCCTTTCGTATGTGACTACTGGTGATTGCTCTATTCATCTATTTCTGTTTCGATGCAACGAGAGAAAGTTCTGTGGCCATTATTTCCTCGTGAACACAATGGAAAATCAAGCGTGACGCACGGACCTACGTCAATGAAACCGAAAACAAAAACTCATTTTATTATTTTTTTTTTCGAGAACTTACTTCAAAGAAACATTCAAATACGTTTAGGACAACTATTTACATAGAAACGCTTGTAAGTCAACAAACTTTATGATTGGATATAAGTGACCTTTCGACAGCCAAAGAAAGATCCTCATTGGTTGCCCACCACGGGAAAGGTTGTACCGCCCTCTGTAACAATTTCTGGCTGTAATCGCAGAGGGCGCTGTTCTTTTTTTCACCATAAAGGTTGCTTGGATTTCTGTTTACATGTAGTTGGATCCAAAGCTTACATGTAGTTGGATACAAAGCAAATGCATCGTCATATTGAAACCAAACGAGGCTGGAATTGCAAAATCAAGATTTTTTGCTTCAGTTTTCTGAAGAAAACAAGGCATTCAAATTATCGTAGCTTACCACTGTGGCCCCATTTGCAACCCAACCCAGTCTGGCAAGGGAGTATGGGGATTTTTTTTACGGGGCTGTAGACGCGTTGTCACCTCAAATATTAAAAATAAAATAGCCCTATGTAAGTAAATGTTAAAGCTACTGATTTCTGTCACAAGCAGTTATAAAATGGTGTGCGATCTAATGAACAAGCGAGTAAGACCAATTACACTCAGACATTTTTCATTAAATTATTCAACAGAAATCGGTTAAGTAGGCGATTGCACCTGTACTGTACAAACAGAAACCGGTATAATTCGGTTGTTTGGCAATTACGGCTGAGTAGCTGTCACTGTGTTTTCGTATAAGATTAAAGAGCCTATGAGACAATGGGAGTAGCTCTCCAGTAGGGCCACACAATGCAAGACCAATCGATACGTCTGATATATCTGGTATCGCTAGAGATTCCCCACGAGACTCGCTGTAGATCTGTTCCGGCTTAAGCTCGTTATACCCCCTTTATCCCGCGTTCTTAACGAGGGGATGATCATTAGGCACCGGGACAGTGCAGCTGCGGCAACGGGCTCAGCGCTTCGGACGTACGACTCGCCTTTGTCCGACCGCCTGAAAGCTTACCGTATTCGTGGAGCCAATTAACGAACCTTTTGAGAGGAATATTTAATTTTCTCAGGTTTGGCCAAAAATTACAAATTGCACTTCCAATGCACATGAAGCATACTAAGGCCAAAAGGTGTTCTGCTGAGCGGGGGGAAAATACATTTTATACAAACTTAAACGAGGGAACAAAACATGAATATAAAACACAAGAAAAGTCCATCTGCTTGACATTGTATTTCACGTTGTATTACCCAACTCCATAAGGTACCGAATTTGAAAGCTACCAAAAACCTTGCTGCCAAATCATAATCAGAAAAAAATACAAATGAAATGATTTTTTTGGGGTAAGTGTCGGTGATTTTCTCAGTTCCATTGCCAATCAACCAGTGTAACAAACAATCTGCGGTGATGTGCCCGTGCATGGAAAGCAGTGAACAGCACGTGAGTGCATTTTGTTTGCGATTCTCAGCCTAAAATCTCTCCACAAGAGGAGGAAAGTGGTTGGTTAAACAGTCAAACAAACCTGACAGGGAATAACAATACGGCGAGGAATGCGGTGTCGGTTTGACCATGGTTTGACTTGTGGGCAATGGGACCAACAGATCAATGTTTGCGGTTGGAGGGGGCAGGTTAAACCTCGTCCACCCGGCCGGCAACAGCTTGGCAAAACATCGGATCGGCCACAGTAGTCACGCGTCGCGAAGCCCCCTGGAAATTAGTGACCCATTAACATCGAAACCTGCTTAGAATGGATCAAGATAATATAAAGTTTTCCAGTCGCTGGTAGCAGCGGAAATTAAGCCTTGGGTTATTTTTGTTTTCTTTAAAACACTTCCAATCATCCTTTTTCCCCTCTCGTTTTTTTTTTAAATAGAAATTACCTTCAGATATTTGAAGTAAAGGCATGAGTATCTAAACTTGAATCAAAATTTGGCAAACTGGACACACGAACACTATCTGGATTTGTTGGCATCGAATGAACACAAACATGTATCCAGTTTCGGAGAAGAAATTCGTGGCTTAAATTATCGTTATCAACATCTCTAAGCACGTCTCTATAGTACGGAATTTCCAAGGAATTTCAAATCGTTGTTAGATTGGATATGAACTCGCGTGGTGAAATAACTTAAGTTTCCCCGCGCTTGTGTTCAGATATCAAATTGAAATATAACTTGATGGGCAATAAAAGACTGAGTGCTCACTAATGAATATTTCAGCCTAGGAATAAACTGGTAGCGCGATCATTGGGTGACATCAGCAAGAAAAGTTCTCCCTCTCGGCCAACAATAGAGCTGTGACCCATCAAATTGGACAAAACACGTAAGCCGATTATGAATGGTAAGTGAAACAGCAAAACGAGCCCACACCGTGACGTAAACAAGGCCTAGCGGATCTGGCGTATTGCTTTCACAATGCGCGACCATCCGTTAAATCCTATCTGCCTACTCGGCCACATTCTGTTGCGTAATGTCTGAGTATCCGTTATTTGATATTCAACAACGTCTTTTATTATTGGCAGCAAGACCTTGGCACATTCTTTTCATTGCAGTTACATCCGTGTAGATGATGACTGTGTATTGTGAATTATCATGATTGGTTTGTGATTCATTTATGAGAATTAAAAATGACTCATACCGAATCATTAGCGACCCCAGTGTCAGTTATCTTCCGCACAAAATATTAAATTGTATAATCACAAAGGATAGAACTTCATTAATTCTGTAATTAGGAAATTAATATTGCAGCAAAATGTGGTAAGACAATCTGATATAGCAGTCAGAAAAGAATTGATGGTAATATACGTTGGTTCTTTTGGAAGAAAGTAACTCAGAATAACTCCGGAATATAACAATAAATATAAAACGGAATGCTGTGATTCCTCGTCAGTCAGTATATCTTGTCGATTGTTCAGACGAACATATGATTTCCAGAATGAGTGTGTCACATTGAATTGCCGGGATACGAGACAAATTACAGCTAGAAAGGGAATCCATGAAATAACCCCTTTATGTTTGTTTAGACCATTGATTTTTATATGTGACACACATTTTATTAACGAGGTACATGCGTAAATTATGTTAATTTTAGTAAGACACTTTTACACGAACTGCACAAAGTTAATGTCATAGAAAATACTGGTCTGCAAATCTCGCGGTCAATGGGTATACAATGTTTATTCAAGAGGCTATTCAAATGTTGATTTCATTCCAGCTCCGGCCTCATCACAGGCTCCAGATTCATTTTAAAGCCTAGCTTTTAGTCCAAATGTAAGTTAAAATATTTTAAATTCTGGCTTCGAAATTATAGGATTTGATGTTCCTGAAGCAGTAAATTATGGACTCGCATCTGGCAGGATGTCCCTGAGTTAGGGGTGTATCTATCATCGTATTGAAGCCCAATGTACAACGCAACCGAGGTTTGGTGAAAACCCAGAGCATATTGTTGCAAAAAATTGCGCCCTCTCGTTGTTGAAGAGAGAAATGCACTGTGCGCACAGCATAATGAGTGCTGATGCCAGCACAGAGCTAGCTGTAGCTCTCTGTGTGTGCTCGCGCTCTGTGTACACTGCACACACTTTTATGACCATTGTGCTGAATGGGGCGGTATAATCCCGAGCTCGCAGACGAAGTCCAAATAAAGAAACTTAGCATTGGACAATGGGGACTTCGACTGCGCTGGCGGGCTGACCCAAAACAGGGCCCTTTTGTGCCAAGTGGACCGTTGTATATCTACGGAATCGATCCGTAGCATCTGACAAAGGACGAAAAAAAATTGAATGTAACGCCGACGGTGAGTTCACACATTCCTCACAAAAACCAGGTGGGCAGTTCTTGACAAGTGTCCCGTGCAGTTGATTCGGAGAACCAGCGCACTTGGAAGTTACTCCTCAAGCCGTGGTCATTTACTGAAGGAACATGCGTGAGTAACAAGTTGGATATTCACAGCAGACGTGTAAAACAGCATGAATATAGGAACTCCAACACTGTCCTGCTAGTGTGAGATGTACAGTTAGGCTTGAGACTGAAGAGGATTATTGCTAAGATTTCACTCTGGGAACATTTTTATCGTGTGTGCTGTGCGCTGAAGGAGTTGGACATTTTCTCAGCGCTATGGGAGGTCGGGCGTTGAAACTTGTTGGTGGAGTTGGAATGTCACGGGAACACAAGGCCGGTAGTATGGTGGTGTTACGGGCCGTGATATGTGCGTTCTACGCGGTATGCTGTGGTAGCGTTTGTCTGGCCGATAGAGGTATGTAACAACTCCCTTGTATTCTGAATAGATCGTGTAGACAGCCTGCTGTTTTTCTCGTACGACCACAACTTTCACAAGTTTTGATGTCCATATTAATTAATCAGTGTTGAACATTTTTAAGGTCTGTGTCTGTGGTCTTTATTTCAGGCACTCGTCCACTTGCACAGAATTTTCCAATCCAATGGTTTTTGTAAAATGTATGAAAGTTGTGAGCCGTTCTAAACTAGTACAGTACCCAAAGTATTTGAAAGCTGAAATTCTGAATACAAGTATCTGTTATCCAGTTTCAAATAGACTTTGATTCCATTGGCTGCACTGATTTTCATAAGGAGGCCAAAAAAATTATGCGAATGATATTTGAAAATTAGTGTTTTTCAAGAAAATGTTTTAAAAGTATCCAGGTTCCTGAATTATGAGTACTGATATCATATTTTGTTTTGGGGGATCTCAATTTTAGTGTTTTGTGGATGCTTTTTTTTTGACACGATCCATTTTGTAGCATAGACTGATCAGTTGTGTGGGCGATTGTGTATTATGGTCCCCAGCATAATCCGAGTATTAAACTGCATATC